TGGGCCCGTTCCATCCCGGAGGAGGGCAGACAGGTGGATGGGGTTTATGGTGGGGATCTCACCAATGATTGGCCTAGGGCAGGAATCAGGGCTTTGTCACTCCACATTCAGCTCCAATCCAGGCCACCACTGCAGCTTCCTGACCAGCAGTGCAGAGAGCAGCGGTAGTGCAAGAGGCTACTCAAGACAAGCTGCCTCCCCCTTCCTAAAAGGCCTAGCACAGCAGATTGGGTTGAGCCAAATCTGACACCTTAGACAGATGCCCAAAAGTTGGGGGGGGAGGGGGAGAGAGCAAACCAAGGTTTTGCTGGCTGCCCCACATAGCACATGACACCCTGCTTCACAAGACTAAAAATGCTTCAGACTCAAATATGTTGATTTTCCGATCCAATTTCTTACTTAATGATATCATTACAAACTAACTTGGAAGTATAAATGGTCACATTAACTATTTTAACAGAAATATTCGGCATAAATTAAGAAATAACCATTTCACTAGATGCCAACCAAGCTTCACAAACTTGAAGGAAAAGGAACAAAAAAAACCAAGCACACTTAATTGTTATGCATCTCACACATGATTCTGGGTTGATCGCCAGATTTAGATGTGCTCTGAAGTAGGGAAGCCTGGAGCAGCACTGTGATACCACCGCTAACAGTGAATTCTGAGATTTGATTTGATAACACTGAAAAAAACAATAATGACAACAACCATGGAATGAATCCATAGGAGGCAACGGTATCATAAAACACTGATGCCACTAATGCATTTCTAACTCTTGCCTGAGGGATTGAACCTTTTAAAAACACAGCTAGTTTAGCCTGAAAGCTTTTTCATAAATGCTTTAGCAGGCTAAACAGACAAACTTGAAAGAGACACAGTATTTTATTAAAGCGTACTGTAAAGATATTATTGCAACTAAAAAAAATTATACAGTGGAAAAAACATTGACTGCACAGAAACCTACATCAAACTTCTGATTTTCAGCCCCAAAGCCTCTATTCATAACATTCAGTTTATTTCATGTAGGAAGGCACATTTATTACATATGAACAAAAATGCATTTTAAAACTGCTCCAGATTCACAATAAACACCATATGCATACAGATTTAAATTCTGAAGTAAATCAACATGTTATAACAAAACATTGCAACATTTTTTCCTCTTTCACTTTCCTGTTCAAAAGACTGGTCAACACCCACACACATTCAGGGCCCTCAATTTTTAGCAACCCTTCACATGCCAGTCCCCATCTGTTTTTGTTTGTATTTTTAAATGTGTGTTTCTAGCCCTTTTTGTTGCAGAGATCACCTTCAAAATATAAAGAAAGCTCTATGGTTGACAGCTGATGGAGTAATTTTTTCTAAAAACCAGTGATTACTCATGAGCCACACTAGAGGCAACAAAGGCTGGCCTTTGGGGCTTTTGAAGCCCATGGCCATCAGTTCCTATTTTTTGATGGAGGGGAAGGAGCCCAAACTGAACTCTACTTTTGTGGGGAAGGGCACCAAGATTTTCACTAGTGGTGAAAGGATTCCACAAACTCCTTCTCAGCTGTTCACAGCTAATCCAGTTCTTCTTCTGAGCTACGAAAATGGTCTCCAGCTACAAGGGGTGGGACAACAAAGCGGAGGAGCCAGCTTAGCCTGTAGTTGCTGACAAATGATGTGGGGGGTGGAAGAGGCAAAGGAACAGGAGGCCCTGCTTCCCTTTACTCCCAGATTCAACAGTGGCAGCCACTCTGGGAGGGGTGAGGAAGCAATGCAGAGGATAAGGGGAAAGGTGGGTGAACACTTGTGAGAGTAGAGGTTGCCAGGAAGCATCATATGTAGAAGCCAGAAGGGGAGAGGATATTCAGTGTGTAAACATTTGGGGTGGGGAGGAAGAGACAGGGCTGTCGTGGGGGGAAGGGAACAAAGAGAGAAATATAGGAACCTTCAAAAGATTGAGGGGGAGAGATAAAGATGCTGGAATGTGAAGAGACAATGGAATACAGATGAGAGCAAGGGGAAGACACAAGATAATAGGAGGGAGGGTATCAGGGCATGGATGAGAAGGAATGGGGCAAATATAAACAGACAAAATAAAGAAAAGGGAATGGTGATTTTCAAATAAAGAAACACACAAACAAGGGAGAAAGGAAAGATAGTAATGAAAAAACAGAAAAAACAGTAATCAGAAATGAGAAAATGATATGAAGATGTATACAATGAATCTGGAGAGGTACAGAAAGAAAAAGCAGGGGATGAAAAATGGGAGAAGGGAACGAATGCAAGAAAATATCCAAACTGTTAAGCTAGTGAATTTTATTGAATCAATTTATTTTCCTTTATTTTATTTCCCCGATGACCTCTTATTTCTGTTGGGGAATAGAATGGAATCACAATTGTGAATACATATTTCTACCAGTGGCTACTGCACATTATGTATAGTTAATTAACTAGAGAAAAAAATAGAATATAACCCCAAAATCACCAGAATCCATACTAAACCCTTGGGTAACAAGGAAGAAGTAGCCCCAAGACCTCCAGCTTAGCTGGAGAATTGTCTACAATTTTCAGATGATGGTTGTGACGCACAGGTTTTTTTATACTGCTCCCAACACCAAGGCATCTGAGCAAAGGCAGATAAGATCCATGTTTTCTGGAACAGAGGAGACTGAAAGAGGCTTCAAAAATTGCCCCTTCCTACCACCTACTAATTTAAATTAATGTAACCCCAAAAGTTTGTGGGGGCTTGGATAAGACAAAATTATCTCCTTGACACTCCCCAAAATACCAGGGCCAGCAAGAGCTGATGATGCCACCAACACATGCCTGCATCAGCACTGTTTTAGGTATTAGTGAAGAGGAAACTAATCTCTAACTTGTCTTGACAGGCAACTGATTTTCAAATATATTGTTATCATAGAATCATAGAATATCAGGATTGGAAGGGACCACAGGAGGTCAACTAGTCCAACCCCCTGCTCAAAGCAGGACCAATCCCCAATTTTTGCCCCAGATGCCTAAATGGCCCCCTCAAGGATTGAACTCACTACCCTGGATTTAGCAGGCCAATGCTCAAACCCCTGAGCTATCCCTCCCCTCCAAGGGCCAAGAGGGCCCTTGTTAAAGAGGGCCAAGTTTCCAAACTGGCTTCCAAAACTCCGTCCACAAATTTTGCATACACAAAATTGTCATTCCTCTCCCAAACCCCTCAGAAAAGTTTTTATTTTTCATACATAAAGGTCTGATGCTGCCATAGAAATGTAATATACAAGTTTGGAAATAAAAGCAAGAACTCACTCTAATTATAGTAAAGACAAAATATGTATCATTGTGAATATAACATCTGTTCCTGGGGACATACATTAAAAATACATTTTCCACATTGTTCTGGCATCCTTAGTCCTTCCTTTTATTTGATAAGATTTGTGCATAAGCAAATGCACTTCCAGAAGCCCCTTTGAAACCTTGCATAAAAGAAAAGGAGTACTTGTGGCAGTTTCCACGGTAAACATCTGATGAAGTGAGCTGTAGCTCACGAAAGCTCATGCTCAAATAAATTGGTTAGTCTCTAAGGTGCCACAAGTACTCCTTTTCTTTTTGCGAATACAGACTAACACGGCTGTTCCTCTGAAACCTTGCATAAAATGTCATATTACAGGCCAAACAGCACTTTCATTTTCATCACTACATGGGGGAAACTGGGGACAGAATTTCATTTACATTATATTACTGGTTTGAGAGAGAATACATTTTTAGATTTTGAAAAACATCGAAGTTCATCTCTTAGGACTGGCTACTCACATTAGGCCAGTTCCAATGCTCATTGAATGCCCTTTAAGGAAAAATAGGTAGCACAATCTGACCCCTGTTTACGGGGAAAAAATGGATCCTATCCTAAAATAAGCTTAATTTCAAATAGTTTAAATATTTAAATGTACAACATATTTCCATAAAGAGTAAACACATAACTTTAATAGAAAGAGCTATTGAAGAAGTTCATAGTAAAATAATGTCCTCTGCTTATCTTTCCAAATACTATTAATATTTTATTTCTTCTTATTAGACAATCCTCAGGCTGACACTACACCTGAAATCCTGAGCCTACTGAAGTCAATGGGAATTTTTCCATTGGCTTCAATGGAGCCAAGTTTTCACCCTTTGTTATCTGAACATGTGCACCTTTATATGTACATGCATATGCACACACATACACACACAATATATGCTACTTCTGTTCTGTAGAAGGTTGATCTTCATGCATTGTATAATGCTTTTAAACAACATAAACTTTCTGTAAACCCTTACTCTTATGATAGAACATAAAAGTCTAAATGAAGTGCTTCAACCTTATCAAATTTAAATGTATCAATAATTTTTGTCAAATTTCTACCATATTGATACGTTCACCTGAAATGTTTCAATTTTGTCAGATGAGAATATTCCAAAATAAATCTGTTGTATCAGAATTAAGTATCAAGTTTAATTTATAAGTTTGCTATTGTTCAATCACTTTCTTTAGTCTGAAATTCACTATGCTAATGTCTTATAATGCTTCTCTTTTCTCAAAAGATGAGGAACTTATCTGCAGAAACATCATTTACACCATTCACCTTAGGCTTTCGACAACTAGCTATAAGTGTTATTAATGGACCTCTAACATAATATATGCAGGGATTAAAAAGCAAATAGCTACCAATTTTCAGTAGCTCTTTGTCCAATGAGCCACAGCAGTTTGCCTGCACACTATCAATTGCAGAATTGCAGACTAAATAATAATATTTATATCTTACAAAACATCTTACGATAAGGTTCTTAATAAGTAGCAATATTTGAAAATATGCCAAAATATACAGAGATATTTGACAAAGCAAGAAAAAACAAATACTATTTCAAATCGACTAGATACATACCAATATTACTTATTACTGGTATTACATTACCACCAAAATAGGCATCCCATTGTGCTAGGCACTTTACAAATACAAAATAAAAGACAGTCAATACTTACTGGTTTAGCATTACATCTAGAATGAATGATGACCCAAATGCATCAACCTGGAAGCTGGCTCGGGCAACATGAGTGGACTGCAACGTTAAAAAGATTGGAATGTGTTAGCAGTCTGCTACATAAAAATGCATCACATAGATTTGAGAACATAATATAGACAAAAATGAAATAAAAGTACTAAGCATCAATACGCCATTAACCCAGGAAAAAATCATACTGTTTAGTGTACAAATATGTTGAATAATGGATTTTTTTACTGTATTATCTGATTTTATTCAAGATGGAGAAGTAGCAGGATAATAAGTCCAAATAAATAAAGGCAATATTCCCTTTAATAAATTTCTACCTTTACAACCTATTGTCAAACTTAGCATCTCTGCAGGTAGGAGTTTTCGATGCAGCATCCTGTACTGGCGTGTTATTTGTCTCATGTTATATCACTGTTGATCCACAGGAACTGCAGGACACAATACCTTTCTTTGGCATTCATATTCTCAACAGAAAGGTAAAAACACCACAAGCCAATCTTCCCTGACTAACCATCTAGATGGCACCTGGATCTGTAGTCAAATCTGTGGAGAATAGCTTGACAGCTGCTAATATGAGGCACGCTAACTTGGTTAAACTGCTTCATTGTGGTCTGGTCTAAACACCCTCAACCTTCACTGAAATTATATGGAGATGGAAGGTACTCAGCACCTTGCAGGATCAAACCCTTGATAGTCTTGATCCATGGAATTTTCACTCCTAAACACATACAGAGGAGTGATAACAGTGTGATAAATTGCTAAACCATACGGTCAGCTACATTTATCATGTGATTTCTGGCCGCCTCACTTACATTCTACCCACTAATCCATCTGTGCCAGAACAACTTCCAACATTCCAAATCCCTGAGCAGCTACAAAGAGCTGCCATTTAAAAAAACCTAAACAAACAATGTGCTAGAGAAGTCTCATTCCTTCTCTCCTAGCCAAATGTATCCTTCCTTCATTACCACCAAAACTGCACTAGTCTAATATTTAGTCCTACTCAATGACATGTATAAGGTCTGATGTCTCACAGCCTACAGAGCTAGAAATGGGAGCCTTCCCCCGCTCTCCATTAGAAAAGGAAAACTCCCAGTTTTCCAATGAGACACAGAGCACATCCTTCTAGTCCTAAAAGTCCCAAGAAACTAAACTGCAAAACTGATTTTTGTTTAAATAAAAAGACCTTTTTAGACCACTTTGGAGGAGTTTTAATTAGTTGCAATTCTTCTTTCCCCCTGAACCCTGTACAATTGGACTTGTAGTAACTAAGTCAAAGGGATTTAATGGCTTTATAGGCCGAGGGATTAAAAAAGTATTATTTTTTTCTTTAAAAAACCCCCATAATACATTTCTGTAAATAAATGCAGTTCAGGCTAGTGCAGAGGTTACCAAGGATTTACTGGCGGTCAGTTGGGATGGCCTGCACAACTCACTCCAAAGGTGTGGAAGCAAAGGCCATTTTTTCATGCTTCTCAATACTGGGGTTGGTCCAGTCCAGTCCAGTAATTTACAGAAGCCTCAAGTTTGTCCTAATTGATAGTCATCTGCCCATTGACCCAAGTGTCTTTCAGCACCTGGAGATTGCACCCTTTCCGCTCAGGAACATCCCTATGCCTGAGATAGTAGAGGCTGTTGTGGCCTAGGGACATATGCCATATCTGTGCCACCCAGGTACCCCGCGTATACAAGTGGAATCCTCACAGAGGCAGATAAGCCAGCTTTGGGACTACTTTGCAGAACAAAGTAGCCAGACCAGAATTGGGCCCAATAGATTTTTACATTTCATAAATGGGGTTGTGATAATAGGAAAGTTAGCCTGTAACACACGTTGCTCCCCTCTACAAGGCGCAGAGGCACGTCACTTCCGCAAAGGGGTCCACGAAAAGAAATGCCTGGGCAGCTATACTGGGCACTGTGAGTGCTCCGTTCACACTGGAATGTCATGTTCTGTTCACACTGGAAGGTCATGTGTTGAGAAAAAGCTGTTCAGTAAGCTCTCAGCATAAAGAGGGAAGGAAGACAGTGAAGTACAGTAGAACACAATTTGAAACCCAATCTGTCATGTTTGTACCGACAAAATAGTGCAACCAGCTCTCAGGCTGGTAAAAGCTTTGAAAAGGAAAAAATAGGGAAGGTGGCCCGAAAAACTACAGAGAAAATCCTCCTGGAAAGGCTTTCTGGCGGATGCTCCCTAGTTAGAGCTGTGGAGAGGAACAAGCCAATCTTCCTTGGCTTTAAGAAGAGGAAAGTTAGTTTAGTCTGTTCAGGGGCTCCCAAGGGTCCATCCTCTTTCGTAGGGAGAAGCTCTCCTCAGTACTATCAGTTGCTAATGATATCATCAGCAAGGTCAGAGCAGCACTAACTGCACTGAGAACAAAAATTTTCAAGCTGGCTGATGCCCTCAGAAGGGGATTGGTAGGGAAAAAATGGGATCTCCTCCAATGGTAGCTACTCCCAGGGAACTGGAGAAACATCCCCATCAGCATAGCAGATGAGGAACAGAAGGAAAGCTCAGCTGAAGGAAGAGGAAAGGACCAGAGCCCCTGAACCTCCCTCTCCAGAAAGTCAACATTATTTTACAAAGAGATTCCTGAAGGATTAAGAAGGGATGAAGACCCGGTAGCCTTGCCTACTCCTTGACTTTGGAATGCAGGGAGACATTACACCTGGTAGAGTTCACAGCACTAGGACTCTCCTATCTTTCCTTGTCTACTTCTCTTGAAGCATTGAACTGCTCCCAAGTTCCCTGTGCTACTCGCAGCCCACAATGAGCTACCAGGATCAAGTTCTCACTGGCATCACCGTATCTTTTCCATGCCTGGAAATATATAGTGGAGACACATTCGCCATCAGTTTCCCTGGTGGAATAGGAAAACATGATAAGTAAAGGGAATTACATCCTTTTGGTCTGCAAGCTTATTTTTTAAAGTACGCTGCATGAGTATTTTGTTGAAGTTCACTAATATGGGAAGTTCAGTGTAAGAGTATTAACACAAATGACAGGGGTTCCCCAAAAATGTAGACCCTAAATACAAATTTTAAAAATGGGGTGATTTTTTAAAGTGCTTAGAAGATCAGAAGTACTGCTGAATCCAGCGGAAGTTTGAGAGATAACTCAGATTGGATCTTCTCTTCAAAACGGTCCAGTTTTGGTAATGAAATGTATGTGCATATAAATCCCAGGAATTTAAATCCTGCTTTAGGTGTAAGATCCAATGTAAAATTAACTATGGAGCTGCCAAGGTGCCTCTTTATGGATCTCTTTTTATACATACAATTTACATATTTATAGATTTTAAGGCCAAAAGACACAAGATCATTATGATCATTTAGTCTGACTTCTTGCATAACACAGGTCATAGAATGTCATGAGGTGATTCCTCCATCAAGCCTTTTATTTCTCGTAGAGCTAGAGCAGATCTTTTAGAAAAAGACATATGATCTTGATGTAAAGACTTCAAGTGACAGAGAATTTATCCCATCCCTGAGTAAATTGTTCCAATGGTTAATTACCTCACTGTTAAAAATATGTAGCTAATTTCTAGTCTGAAATTTGTCTAGTTATGAGATTCTAAGCATTGCATGCATATTTTTATACACACACACACTTCTACACATACAAGTTACACACAAATATGTATATATAATACACACAGTCTTCATGTTATGACTTAGTTATTGCATTACAACCTTTAAAAAATGTGAAGTGCTACAATTTTTATAATAATCCCTTTCATGTAAAATTAGTCAATATCAGGAGAGTGGGAGCTATTCTGAAACTTTAAAATTATAGGGTTTTCAGGATATTTAGAATTATTCTGAAGCCTTCGCTGAGTCTGCCTAAAGCAAAATTGTTCAAAACCCCTTCAATTCTCTCTTTGTTATGCAATAGAACTGAAGTGGTGACATAATTTTTAGGTGACTTTGATGTGCCCATATTCTCCATTTTCCAGTGCTATGCTGTGGGGTTACTACTGATGCCTTGCAGTAGTTCCCAGTTTGCATTTTATGTTCAACCCAAGATTCCACCATTTACATCTGTGGTCCCCAAGAATTCTAAGATTGGAACCCAAGGAGTTTAGAGAAGCCCAGATCTGGTACCATGTCCCTCTCTTGCTTGCCATTGCAGCTACTAGCACCCCCTGGATTATCAAAATTATCTGTAGCAAATCAACAAGTTTGCATTCCTTTTTCAGTTCTCAACCAGCAGTATATGCTCCTGATTTGTGTTCCAAATGCCCTCTTTTCCAGTTGGATTTTGCCACCTTTTTTTGGCAATTCCTCCAGCAGAAAATGATGGTCCAAGAACCTATTTATCTGCTAGAGGCCAAAATATGTTCCTCATCTTTTTTTTTTTTTTTAATTGTTTGGTTGTTCCACGGAGGCATGTTTGCTAATCTCTCACTTCAGCACACCAGTCAGTCGTTTTGAACCTGTTTATACACCTGCAACTGCTGTATAAAGATCTATGCTATTAGCTGTTCATTACTATATTATTAAATTCAAAGAGCATTCTAAAGCGCATTTCAAATTCTTAACAATGGACAAACTTTCACAATTGTTAGTTTCTTTGTGGGAGACAAAACTGATTATTCCATATGTCATTACACAATTACATCATCCATGGCTAATTTCATAGTAATGGAATTGCAACTATGAGAGGCATGAGGGTTTGTTGTTTGGAAATTTTTTTTAACTGTTAAGAATACTGTGCCATATTGATCTGGTCTGGAAAATTTCCTCCCCCAAACACGTATCTGAGCTTTGCAATTACTATGCTATTGGACACTAGAGCTGACCCTTGACCACTAGTATTCCCAGACAAAAACTAAAATGATGTTAAGGTAAGAGTAGGTATCGGTAATTTAAAGTAAAACATTACACGGATGTTGCAATTATCCAAAACTCATAAACTTAAAAGAAACCCAAACATGCTGAGACATGGAAATGCAGAGTTTCAATAGCCATTTTGATTATGCTTTTTATAGCATTTTTGTTAACAATACTGTTCAATATGAAACATTTCAAAAAAGTAACCTTTTTTG